ACACACACACACACACACACACACACACACACACACACTGATACGCACTCATCCCTCCTCCCTTTCCAAACGCCTTCGATGCTTGTTCTCCTGGAGAACACGGCGGGTCTGGGCCCAGAACATTTCACTGCAGGGCAACTTGCATGTGACGAATAAAGTTCTGATTGATTGAACATTAGACAGAAAGCAGGGTTTCCCATCTTTTCTTTACAGTCTGTAGTCCCTTGCCATGAAAGCCTGTCACGTTACCTGATGATGACGAGGAGGTGCTCGTGCTCCTTCTCCTGCTCGTGTCTCACAGACAGCAGCAGGTTTCCCACGCTGCTCGATGAGCACGAGAAGTTTAAATGCTCCTGACAACAAAAGAGAAGGACGTCAACCAATCAGGTGACAGCAAAGGATGAAGATGGATTTAACCCTCCAAACCTCACCCTGCCCAAGAAGTGCTTCCTGTACGCCCGAGCAGCCTCGTTGATCTCCTCCAGACGGTACCCATAATCCCCTGGGGCGGTCTCTTCCTCCTCCACCTCCTCCTTCCCCCTGCTGTCTGCAGGAGGAGGAGCATCAGGATCCTCGATCCAGTAGCCTCCAAACTCAGGTAGGATCACCTGAGGGTATGCCCCGCCCCTCTCCAACACCTGCAACACACATTCAGACAGGTGTGAAACACAAGCACACACTTCACCCCTCAGCAGGCTTCCTGCAGCCGGCAAATCAGAGGAAAGTGAGAGTTTGAGTCATATGGCGGCGGTCCAGTGGAGACTCTAGTCTATACTATTACTATGATAAAACTTTCCTCTCCTCTTATTGGCTGACGTACCCCTGATCTGACTTCCTGTTACGCCTCCTTTTTGAAAAAAACAATTAGCAGTAATGTTCAGCTTTGTCAACATCGTCTCACCTCCTCGATCCTCGGATAAGGGATGTAGTCGTCCTGAAACAGAAAGACGGAGACGTCAAACATGTGAGGGACACACGAGGAATCAAAACTGTCCGTTCATCACTGACGTTACTTATGTGAATGTGCTGTTTTTATGTTTGAAGTCACGAACATACAAAAATATCCATGAGATGGACGTACAGTGAAAACGCTTGAACACAGACGCATGAAGTGGGAGGATGCAGACATGCAGGCGACCACAGGAGGGATCGAAACAATCACTGAGACACAACGAGGAGCTCACAGCCTCACCGCGACCACAGCCGCCATCACTGCACCCGGCCAGCTTTTGTTTTGTGCTGCCAGGAAACAAACCTGAGTGCAGCTAAGATAAACTCGTCAGCGTGTTTGTCACATGGTTCCTCCTGCTAACGCAGACATGATCATCACACTGCAGAACCACCACAGCTAGCTGCTAGCATTAGCACGCCGCCCTTATTCCAACATGTGAAAACCACGCTGATCACGTCCATCTTTTATATACAGTCTGTAACAATCACAGTGGTCATTTCCATCTTTTAAGTACAGTTTGTTCTCAGCTGAGTCGGTGATGAAGCTTCAGGCTCTCACACCTGCTGAAGGTTGGACTACACCAGGTTGTCTTTATGAGCGTGAATGAAATGAAGCCGTAAAAGTGAGTGCGGATGGACATGAGGACAAACAGACAGATGGACAGACGTGCCTTCTGTCTCTGAGGGATTGTCTTCATCTCTGCAGCTTCTGGCACCTGCTGCAGCAGAGACGGGGAGAGAAGACGTGAGGACGACTGTTTCACCCCGAACACGTGAAGCTGTAAAACAGCTCACAGAGGTTCAGTCTGATTCATTAAAATAAGAAACAGCTCGCTAACGTGTTTACACGGAACTACTTTCAGCTGCGGATTAACACAGATTTGGTGGATTACGTGTGCACTGATGGAGGAACATTTCAGCCACTGGTGGATTTTTACAGCTTTTGTGAGGCTGACAGGATTAATGTGAAGCTTTGATGAAGACGAGCTTCAACCACACAAACATCAGCTGAAGAGTTTTTCTGACGCCGACAAACAAATTTCACAAAATTAAAGAAAAAGTAAACAAACAAAAAAACGACAAATTTCTTTACTTCACAAAAAATGTTAAAAATTAATTTCTGTTATTTAATAATTAGCAATGGTGTGTTAATGTTTTACATATCAGGACATAATAAAAATCTCTTTGATTATTTATTCAACCAAAGTGCAGAAACACTGAGCTGTAGAGTAAACAGGAGCGTGATCGACTCGGAGGTCCCAACAGCTCCACCTCTATAGGCCTCAGTTAGCAGGTCAAAGGTCAACGTTTGCAAAGCTACAGCTGATCAAAGGCTTCTGGAACAAAGTGAGACCAAAGAGTTTGTTCAAAATCAAAAAACGAACACATGCAGCGATGATGATGTTCAGAGTCAGGGTGAGGACGTCTGTCCCACAGCTGGACCAAACTGGGTCGTCAGCAGGTCACAGATCCACACTCAGCAGCAGATCTGCAACAGAACAGCTGAAACCACAAGGAGCTGCTGCAGAGCTCAGAGAGCTGTGAAGGAGCGTGGACCACAGATCCTCCACAGTGGGAGACCCACAGAAACCCTCGCTGCTGAAGGATTTATTGTGTTACGTGTTGCTGTTGTCTAGTTCAGAATCTGCTGATGCTCCGGTTGTTTTTACTTAAACCCTGCAGCTGTTTGTCATCAGTCACCGGGCGGCTTATCCGAGGAAACAAGCAGGAAAAATCCGACTTATGTCCCTGTTTAGGTCGACGAGGATGATGTGCGATGAGACGTAGAGGTGCAGGTGTAACAAGAGCACATCCAGAGAGAACAAGAAGCATAAAACAGGATAAAACATATAAAAGAAAGAAACAAGGGGAAATAACACGCGTGTCCAGAGATGTTACAAAGACCCAAAGTGATGAAACGACGCAGCGTCATTGTTCATGTTTGTACCTGATCTAATGGCTGAAACCTGGTTTTGTTCTGCTGGAAGCTAAAAGAATATTTGATGAAGCTCCGGATAATGAGAGAATTTTATTTTGAAGAAAATATATAAACGTTCACTGCAGGAGGAAAATAACCCACGCACACACACACACACACACACACACACACACACACACACACACACACACACTCTTACCTCCATCTTGTCCATCGTGTCAAAGAAATGCGCCGACTGCAGACACACAAACGGGTCAAAGCTGTTTATTTGTGTCTGTTGGATCATTTACACTGAAAAGTTCATTTCTGAGGATGATTCTGGTTCCTGTTCACCTCCACGTGGCCTGAATGACCTCACAGTTCATAAGTTTGTGGACATATTGGCTCTGTGCACCCCACAGTGGATCCATCCAGGCGTGACTGCCTTCAGCTTTAATTTGAAGCATTTAATCAAAGTGTTGAAGGCAGGCAGGTAGAACATGAGTCGATCAGAGTGCTGAACTTGTTGCTGTTCAATTCCTAATATGGATGAGCTCTTATCTGTTAGCACTTTTCCTGAGGGCTGTG